GGTGAGTTACAGCGGGTGAGTTACAGCGGGTGAGTTAGGTGATTCACATCAGCTTCTATCTGTTTGTTTTCCAGGTGCGTCGACACCGAGTGTTTACTGAGTAAACGCTGCTGATCACCTCCGAGCTCCGCCCGACTCTCACACTTCCTCCTCAGGGATTTTGTGACTTGGGTGGAGTCAGACAAAATGAACTCTGTGTTGTGACGGACAGGAACAAATCACAGTGCTCAGTCTGTTCTGTTCAGACTGAATGTGACAACGTGCTGTGGGCGTGTTCTCAGACTGAGTTCACAACATTTACATTTAGCAGACGCGTTGTCCAAAGCGACTTACAATAAGTACATTTGTCACAAGAGAGAAACCACAACATATCGCCATCGATGGGATAAAACGAAATATAGAAACAACTGTCAAGCCCTCATCTGAGGATCGTAACTAATCAGTGTCGCTGCTATCCGTCACGATAAATCCATTTATTTATGACAATAAATCATAGACTGTTTTTAAAAGTAAAGCCAATCCAGAGGCCTGTCTTCTGTGTAATGACCAGCAGAGGGCGACTCCACTGGTAGTTTCTATAGGAGTCTATAGAAACTGTTTATGTCTCAATCTCTAGTATGCACTGGGGCCTGGATACCACAGTTTGATTGACAGCTAGTTCTGTCCTATGGGTGCAGGTTGCAGGTGTGAGTCCTTGAGCTTTCAGTCAAGCTCCACCCACTGCTCCTCCAAATATGGTTAGTTCTGGTTCCAAAAAACCCAAGATGGCGCTGAACAAATGGTCAAACTGAGGCTTCAGACCAGCAGCTGACAACCCAACCGCCGACGTCACCGTGACCGTTTATTTATTCGGTTGTTAGTTTGTTGTTTATTTGTTTATCTCTGTCTCTTACTTGGCGTAGGCCTTCTCCAGCAGGGGGCTCCAGAATTCTCCTCCCTCAGCTGAGTGGACAAACAGCAGTTTCCCGTCTCTGGTCGGCAGCCGGTCGTCCACAACTACGTCCACCCACTCTCCGTACTGCCACAGCTGCACGAACAAGAAACACGATGTCACTCCAGTGCAGTTCAACCCTGAACGATCCAAACGTTTCATCGATCACATTCAGGCTTTCAGCTCCGACTCGTGGACTTCATCATTAGTCACAGAGGAATAATCAAGTGAGTGAACACGAGTAAATAGAAGTTTGTGTTCGACCTGAAAGTGGAAGATGCCGGCGTACTGAGACGTGAAGCTCTGAGCGGGAGGTACCACTCTGCTCAGAATCTGAGAGTCCAGAGTCAGAGAGGCGATGGCAGCCAACAGCCAGCAGTCACCTGACAGACAGAGAGCAGGTGAGGGTGTTCCTGTACTTGTGCCTTTGTGAGGACCATTTAGAGCATTCACCCACAGAGTGAGGACATGTTGAGTGAGGACATGTTGAGTGAGGACATGTTGAGTGAGGACATGTTGAGTGAGGACATGTTGAGTGAGGACATGTTGACCGGGCCTCACTTTGTCAAAGCGCTGTTTGAGGGTTAAGACTTGATTTCAAGGTGAGAGTTAGGTGTGTATTATGCCTCTGAGTGTCCTCACTAAGATAGAAATATAAACGTATTAGTGTGTGTGTGTGTGTTTTCTTACCCAGAGCTCCCTGACATATGTCGGTTCTTTTTGCTCCATCAACAATAAACTGAGGATCAGAACACAGCTCCTGATTGGACGAGACAGCAGGTGATTAATGACTAATGAGGAAGTAAATACACAAGTTGACGTAGTGACTCCTGTTGTTCATGTCCGTCACATCCAGACTTGTGTCGGTGTCTTCATGTACCTGTGTAAACTCACTTCCTCTTTCTTATTCTTCATATTAAACTCATCACACCTTACAGCGCCCCCTGCCCTGGGGGCCCCTTCCTGCCTTCTACATGTAAAGCTCAGTGAATGTAAATGGGTGTGTCCTTTGAAAACATGTACAGACAGACAGATCCCCCCTGTCCTTCACTCTGACTCAGTGTGATGTCTCACATCTGGACAACACAAAGCTCTCACCCTCGACTCTTCATATTTATAACACTGAAACATTGATGACGTTTGTTTTGGTCTCTTCATGTTAGAAGCTCATCACCCCCCCACTCACTCACAGGGAATCAGTGGAGGATCCTCTGCTGTGTCCACACTTCTCCTGGATTTAGACTTTATACAGCAGCTCTGAACTGAGGAGTTCAGGTCTGAAGCAGCTTTAGTGTCTGTCTCTCTTGTCTTGTGTCCCTTATGTTCAGGCTGTTTGTCCGTACGTACTTTATCACCAATGCATTAAACATTCATTTGGACTAAAGAATGACCTGATCAGAATTTGGTGGTCAAAGGTCAAGGTCACTGTGACCTCACAAAGCACTTCTTTTATGCCTTGTGAACACGAAATGTCTGGATCCTTTCACATTTGGCACAAACATTCACTTAGACTCAAGGACATTAGTTATCTTTGTCTCTCTTTGTCACTTTGTCTCGTTGCTTTCTGTCTTTGTCTCTGTGTTTAATCAACGTAATGAACTCTTTGACTCATTCTCTGCAGTTTCTCTACTTTTTGTGTTTCTGTGATTTGTGGCTCTGCTCACCGACGGTCGCTTCCACTCCACGCCGATGGTTTTGGACGAGTAGCGTCCGAGCTGGTTGTATCCCAGAGAGTCCCAGGTGGCGGGGAAGGTGGTGTCACAGAAGAGCGAGCCAGTCTTAAGACACTCGCTACGCAACTGCTCAAAGTCCTGTTTGTTGAAGGGGACGGCGTTGGCCCGGCTGCCGACACCATTCTCATCCCGGGCCTTCCTCCTGGCGAGGTCCGCTGCCGCGCTCGTCATCGTGAGTCGAGTCCGGTGAGAGCCTGAAGAATCAGCCGAGAGTCTGCCAGTGTCTGAAGTTACTAAATACTGTTGGTCACTGTTCCGAGTGAGGCTCAGGTGTGTGTGTATTTGTGTAAGGTGGTCAGTTCAGGGGTGGAGCATTGTTCCAGGTGAAGCAGTGTGATATCAGCCAGAGAACAAACAGTCTGATAAACACTGACCAACACCTGGAAACAGGCCTGAGAGCAGGTCACACCTGACACCACCAGCAGGCGGCGTCATGGAGCTGAAGCGGCTGAGGTACCTCAACATCCCTAAAATCACAAACCAGGAAGTGAGTTGGTTCTCTGTCTCCACCTGCTGTCTCTGCTCAGGGTCCAGAGACTCCAGAGTCCTGAAGATGAGACAAACAATGATTTGTGTTTTCATTTTTTCGATTTTGTAAGATTTAGTTTAAACGTTTATTTCCATCCGTGTGCTGAACGTCACCATGTGAGGAATGTTGTGTTCAGGGACGCTCATGAACAAACCTGTGGCGGCAGGTTTTGGTTTCAGGGGTCAGAGGTCAGATTCTGTGAGCGCTCGGGTGTGTCCCACTGTGACGTCATCAAGCTCCTACAAGTGTCAGCGTTGTGATGTAGGTAAACAAACGAAGCAACCAATCCCGAGGTTCCATGTGTAAACACAGAGCAGCTGATTCATTATTCTTGTTTATAATCAAAGAATAAATGATCTGAGAGAAAAGTCTGAAACATCTTCAACATAAAGACACAACGTGGACGACGTGTTGACTCGTGTTCAAACACTCAGTCAGCTGATGTCAGGTCTGAGGCCTGATTGGACACTGAGACTCTGTCCGTGACGTCAGAGACAGACTGCTTCTCTGGTGTCCACATACAGTTAATGTGGGACATCTGCTTGTGACGTCACTTTTATTCTGTTTGTTTTCCGAGGGGGGGGGGGGGGGGGGGGGGG